GCCACAATGATATCTAACTACCTCATACAAATTGTAATCGACTCCTACCATCAGAATTCACTATTAGAAAGATAACAAATTCAATATCGACAGAAGATTGATTTCATCACTTAATGATCGTTTTCTGTCATAAAACTAAAACATTGACAAAAAAGCAGTACTCACATATTTTTAATCATAACTGCCATTTGTAAGCATGAAAGTATATTTGAACCAATCAGAATATGATGAAACGAGAAAGAAAAACATGTAAGTATTATGTTTGCATGTGTATGCAGATCGATCTTGTACGTTTTGCTTGAGTGAATCGCTGCAAACTACAACATAAAAATGAAGATCCATTCAAAATCTTTGATATTGAAAATAAAAATTGTTCTATTATAAATAATTACCAGTTTATTATAAATAAGATAAATATAAATAAATAAAATATTCCACGCACAAAAGTTAATTAAATCATAATTATCGAAGAACAAAGATGTCGTGCAGAAAAAGATGATACACAAATACTCATATTGCAGTATCAAAATATCTTGATTTTCTGTCGTAAACATCAGAGCTTTTTAGAAAGCAATTTGAAAATATGGAAGCTATTTTGTTTTATTTCTTTAATCAACATAATATAATTTTCGAAACTACAACCGATTTTAATTAAAAATAGAAGTAACAAACAACAAAATCTATGTCAAGATTTTCATCATCAAAAACAAAGTTTTGAATTTTTTGAAACAGAAGACCAATCATGTTTTGAATATCTCTTTGCTTTACGAGTTCCATTACATTACTACATAGCAATTTTCTTATAAAGTATTTTCTTAAGTCATCGACTATTAACCATAGCATACCAAATCCTAATGTTGGCATCACATATTTAACCGATATCGATGTCGCATTTAGTTAACTGCATGATTTTTTTATAAGGCCCTAAAGTGAAGCACTGTGTTATGGTGAAATGTCCCATTATTCTGAGAGAAACAAAAATGAAAATAACTGATTATTTTGCATACTATATCGTGATAAATTGTTATCATTCTATCACACCGAAGGCAACCGATTATTTGATCATCAAAACTGGTGCCTACAACAAGATGAAGCAACATCACATACTGAAGAAATATCCTAAAAAATGATGCAGAAAGAACTTCAAGTCATTCCTCAGCGGCCATCAGATAGGCATTTCAATGTATCGATTTCATTATGAATTATTAATTCTTCTATGAAAGTCATCTTTTTATTCATAAAAAGATAATAGTTTGAAGTTTGTTTGCTACTTTGATATTCACTAGTAATTTGTAAAATTTAAAAATAACAGTTTGTCATTTCAGAGAAAAATATGTTTCTGTCTCTAACGAAAGGAAAAACTTTTCTCGAATTTCAGATGCCATTCACAGCACTTATTTGGTAGATATCACATGATAAATAATTCATTGTTGTGATCAAATATAGAGTCAATATTTAGAAACTTTTTCAAAGATTTAAAATGCGAAAATATTCCTTATCACTATATCTTTATTCAGGATTCTGACAGGTCTCGCTCTTTGTGTTGATCAGCTAATATCAAATATTACTTAGAACATTATAATACCAAGTTGAAATATATGTCAAAAATAAATAATTCTCTTAAGATAATGAAAAAAGGCATTTCAAAAATTGCTTTTTGAAAAATTTCATGTAATCAAAACAAAACTCGGCAACTACATCTGTTATTGTGCCAGGTGCTCGCTTCCGCTACAGCACTCGAAAATATTCTTCCTATATAGTTCTTTTTCTCGAAGACTCTGTTCTTTTCTTTCAACTGGTTTTCTTTTGCTAAGTACTCGAAATTTCGATCAATGTCGAAACGTATTCATAGAGTGAAAAATGGATGCTCGATAGAATACAGGTTTCGAGCGGTAGAAATTCGATTGTCATTGAGAGCTCGAGATTGGAACAGAACGAACAAGAAAACATATATTTCAAATTTTTAACTGCTCGTCAAGCCTATCGTATGCTTTTCAAAGTCTGTTTGGATTTATACTTGAAGACCGTTGGTCTTATAACTCACCAGACTTGAGTTCATTAGATTATTCTACCTAGGATAATGTCAACGAAAACATTGATCATCACAAAATTAAAACACGAAAAGATCTGAAAGAAGAAATAAAAAGAGCATGCCAACAAAAATTGATGCGAGATATATTCGCACTGTGATCGGCTCTTTTCTCCAAAGAACCTTATTTAGTTGAACGACGTAATATTAATATTTTTCATGATTATTCATGATGTTTATGTTATTTCATTTCAATTATTTTTGGAAAGCCAATAATAATATCATAAAACATTTTGTTCGAAATAAAAGGAAAACTATTTTGTAACGTTATTGTCATCTTTACTTCTTTCAGAATAATGGGACATTTCACCATAATACAGTGCTTAACTTTTGGTTCAACAAAAAAATCATCTAACCAACTTAATGGGATTTCTCATTACCAGTTTGACATTGAGAATTTCTCGACGCATCTTTGAAAAAAATTCAAGATTTTACTATTTACCTGTTCCGAGATATTTACAAAATCCTATATGTTTCGATCTTGATGCAATGCCCTCTATATATATATATATGTGTTTGTTTGTGTCAGAAGAAAAAGAATAAAATAACTGATTTTATTTTAAATATTAAGAATAATAAATAAGAATGAAATAGTTGTTATTAGAACGCACATAAAACATTTGAAGTGTATATGAATGCGATGTCTCTAAACAAAAAAAAGAAAACTATAAAGCAATTTGACTACATGAATTTAAATATAATATAGACCTGAGCATCACTTTTTCAATGTTAAAGCCAAAACAAGTACAATAATGGCAATAATAACGACCAAAATGATAACTAATATGATTATTTTACATCGAGCAGAACTCTTCAAATCCAAAAAAATAAAATAAAATTTATAAGTGAAAAGAAAAATTAACCTTATTCGTGATAGATTTTGTTATATGTTGATTGGCACGTGTTATATTCCCTTCCGTATGGGTTAAATGTTCGTCAATAGAGTCTAGAAAAGTACAGCGAAGTTTTAGTTTACATGTATTATTATTTAATTAAGTATTTTGTGTTTTTCTTTCAGAAAACAGATTCTTAATTAACTAGATGGCACCTGAGCTGAGCTCGGAGTGTGAAGGATCAATCTTGAGCTTCGAAAAAAACGACATATATAGGAGAAACAATCTTTTTTTTTATTATATATCATGAACCTCTTTTTTTCCTTATAATGCTAACGTTCAGCAAAAATCTTTTTTTTAATTGGAAATCGAAAAAGTTAAGTTTCGATCAATCAGCGGATCAATATCAAGATGAACATCAAGAGCATCATAAGTAGATGATGAATTCGTTCTGCGATCGTACTTTCTTATTGATGGTGATCAGGCCTTGATATTAGATTTTGTTCTTAACTATTATTGTTTGATCGAAGTAATTGTATTTCCTTCTTATGTCATGAACTCAAAAATTGTCATTAAAACATGTTCAGTTATTTATTGATACATAACGTTTATGTGATACCGTTTATAAATCATATGAGAACAGTAAAAATTAAATACTTGGCGATTCTCAAAAATTCAAACTGAAATTTTCTTTTCTCTTGATTAAATTACTTTAAAGTGTTGTATATAAATTATACTTCATATATCAAAAAAAAAAAAAAAAAAGGTGACGAATTAAAATAATACGAAAATCTTTGATCAAAGAAGAACATTGACGATTTCTATTTATTATTTTTTAAATTAACCATAACGACTTGAATCACTAGTGGTCCTCTAAACAATTGTGATAATTTATTTTAAAAAAAAGATGCTCGAAACTGTTCATTTATAGATGATCTTTATTGCTAGCGATAATTAATTATTGCTAAGATCAGCTATAAGTCTCGCTACATGATATCATAATATTGGAAACAAAATTCATAAATTATTTTTTATATTTGGATTTTACTTTAGGAGCATGAAAAATCATTAAGAAAATCAGACAAAATTTGTAGTATATAAATATCTTAAAGCCTCTGCTAGCGTTATAACGAGCATCAGACGGTGAGCCGTTCGCAAGATCACCACATTACAAAATATGAACTTTTAATGCATAAGTCGAGAATGTCGAACGATCGCTATACAGTGTTTCGCACCATCATGAAGTTGATCTATATATGTTGAAAAATTTAAGCAATTAGCAGCAGCGATTTTAAATAATTAAACATCTAATTAATTGTAACCTGTACAAGTTGTCGAGTGCTCTGCTGTTTGTGTTGAACAGATGTTTCAACATGATCCTGAATAGTATCTTAAAATTTGTTTTTCTTCGTCCAAGTTCTTAATTTTTGTTATATCTATCTTTCTTTTGTTTAATGTAAATCACCTTACCTATAACAGCGCCTTGCTCATGAACAAGTTTAGCAAAATCATTGATTATTTCATTTATTTCAACAATATTTCTCTAAATGATAAAAGAATTGTTTCAATAAAGCATGTTTTATTGCTATGTAAAATTTCAAAAGGATTGGAGTAGAACGATTGACTCCTCTAATGAAATATCTAATCGAGATTTGATCAAAAAAGTCTATTGTCATATAAAAACAATTTAAAAAGTGTGTTAAAGTAAAATTGATAGAAATTTGCACCCATACCCTCTATATCATGACTAACGCTGCCGAGAAGCTATCACCAATTGTGACAGACGTTGTTACTATGTAATCACAGGTAGTATATCAATTACGGTTTGTTACAATATACTTATTACTTCCCTATACTATTCGATTTCTGGAGGATAAAGTAAAATGAAACGGAAGAAATGTGTCTCAAGATGGATTGAATAAAACAATTTTCGTATGAATAACAATAGCAACTACATCATGGTTCACAATTTAATCTCACAGGGATTGTGCTAAAGCTTTTTTGCTCAACAGACGAAACTTAAGTTCTAATAGAAACAGATTTTACGCTCAATACATTCTCACTAGTTTATGAAATGTTTATCTCATATAAAATCCTGATGCTCTGTTAACATAAAAACAATTAACTTTGTATGTATAGCATAGTTTTGAATCATTTTTCATTTTTAAATATTCAAGTTTATTTTTTACCTCAAGTTCACGTATTTGTTCATCACGTTCTCTTAATTCTCTCATATCAACTTCTTGTTCAATAGATAAAACAGCTTGTCTTTGAAATTGATCATGTGTTGGTTTCCCAAAAAAGTCATTAGCAAATTGTGAGTCTGATATTCCATGTTGACGAAATGAAATAGCTCGTACACGATTAAGACTTTCTTTTTCTTTTTGTGCGCCAATACGTTGTGCTTCTTGAAAACGATTTAATGTTGCTAAATATTGGTTTGGAAAGTTTTCAGTTAATGTTTTTTTACGTCTCTAAAAATAGTTGTTTTTTTTGTTCAAATAAATATTCATATTACATTTCTTTTTAATCAAACCTGATCAGCTTCAGTTAATACACGAGTATTATTAAGTTCTTGAAATGCATTATTTGTTTGTTGCATTAAAATTTTTGTTTCATTTTGGAGACGATGACTAAGAAAAAGAACAAACTTTGAATTAAGATATAATTATTTATTTGACTTACTAGCGTTCACGTAATGGTTCACTATCTTCTGGTGTACCTAATTTTTGAACAATTTTTTCAAGATCCGTAACTATAGAATAAATAATAGATAGAAAAAACAAATAAATTTAATAAATAGTCTATTCAACAAACCATTATTACTAATCTTTGTTAGATTAGCTGAAGAAGCATTATATAAACGTTGAAAATCGCTTGCACTTGCCACTAAATCAAATAGAAGGACAATAATTCAAATCAAAACAAAAAAAGTTTTTTTTTACTTCTTGTTGACCACGTATCAATACAATCGTCGATCTAGAATAGAAATAATAATTTACTGAAAAATATCAACAATTATTTTATTGCTAGTTAATCATGTTATAAATTTGAGTATATGTCAAGATGACAACAAAAAAAACACACAACAAAATCATAAAAGGAAAGCAAGCCAACAAGAACAACGAAGCAACTTAAACAAGTAGAAAATTGTCAGTGCTTGTATAATTTGTACAATGAGTCACTCTTAAGGTATTTCACAATGATAGTCTCACTTGTAATAATTCCTCATCGGTTGAATTGTACATAATTTTCATTTTGAAAGTTATTCAGAACATGTTTTTTCCTTACAAATACTAACAAGTAGAGAGAAAAAAAACCTCTTCAGTCATTGATCGTATTGAAATATTGATTCAATATCATAATATCGACAACATAATGTATGACTCATCAGATTTTGTAAATAAGCTTTTTCTAATTATTAGCCAATGTTGGTTGGCTTCGATAAGGTGATATATTATTATTGTGTACTTTTTTTCTCAATGATTCATATAAACACTTATTTTTAGATAACATCTACAATTTAAAGAAGGCGACGCATAAGAGGCCAAATCGGTCCAATAGTACTTTTCTTGGCCAGTCTCTTTGAATCATGTGCCCATGTTGAGACTAACATTTGGTTACTACTAATGTCCGCGCCCGAATTAAAGAGGGATGGATGTAAGCGCAATAACTCGATAATCGCAACAGCTAGCGACGTGCGGTTTTCACTAATTGAAAGTTGAGAATGGGGCACGTCTTTTTCTCCCACAATGTATAAGACGAAATCCTTTTAAAGTTAATCATCTTCGAAAAACATACAAAAGAATGCATAAAAATGACCTGCCATCTAAATGAAATTTTGATTTTGACCATTGATTTAGATAGAGGAACTTGAGATCTATAGCTCAAGATACAATGCGCTTTCTTACTTTTCATTACATTTTCATCGAAATATCAAGCTATTATGATAAAAAGTGCAAAAAATCAGCAAAATTCCCTATTATTTGCGCACGTAAATATATGATTCCATTTACTCAACGTTAGAATGTAATAAGAGAACCATTTACATTAGATCTTGAACTATAGATCTCAAGTCCCTCTACCTAAATCAATGGTCAAAATCAAAATTTCATCTAGATGGCAGGTCATTTTTATGCATTCTTTTGTATGTTTTTCGAAGATGATTAACTTTAAAAGGATTTCGTCTTATACATTGTGGGAGAAAAAGACGTGCTCCATTCTCCACTTTCAATTAGTGAAAACCGCACGTCGCTAGCTGTTGCGATTATCGAGTTATTGCGCTTACATCCATCCCTCTTTAATTTTGGCGCGAACATTAGTGTCAATAACGTTTTGATCGAATTTTGAAATCTAAAATCTATCAATAAAGTAATTCATTTTAGTTCACTATTCTAATAATTCATCGTATTATGATGAACTCGATTTGAGAATAAATAGACAAGAGAAAATACTACTGAAACTATGAATTTGATAACTCTTTGATAAGGGTTCAATTTCATATACAAATGACCAATTAATTGTTTAGTGTAATGAACTATAGGGTTAATGTACTACTGATAGACACAGTTAGCATATTTACAATATTTATCATCTACATTTATCTTTCAACAAATATTTTATTTTAAAAATTGAAAATATCGAAACTGCTGTATTCTTTGTTTGATAGCCCTTTTGCAAAGCTACGAAATCATATATTTTCCAAATGTACAAAAACTCTGGCCACTTACAAAAATTAGATTGAAAAATTTACTACCGATTTCGCTCATCGGCCAGACAAAAAATGAATTCGATGAAAATCCTGCTTCTATTTTCTAGACATCTCCTATTTTGCTAGCTAGTAACTATTAACAACTTTCGCAATTGATTTGTACTGTTCAAATAGTATTTTGATGGAGTTTATTTTTCACCTGACCGCTGAAGGAATCAGTAGCCAATTTTTCAATGAACAAAAACAGTTTCAGAAATTGTTTAGATCGCACCTAGACGTACTCGGAGTTTTATGCTGATTTCGAATATCATTTTAGTTTACACTCAAATTGAATTTTTCCAACCAAAATCTTCTAAATATTGATTAAAAAGATACAAAACTACAATTAAACACTAATATGCTTCGAAAGTTTTTTAAGTGGCCAGATTTTTTGTACATTTGGAAAATGTATGATTTAGTAGCTTTATAAAAGAGCTATCAAACAAAGAATACAGTAGTTTCGATAATTTCAATTTTTAAAATAAAATATTTGTTAAAAGATAAATGTTTATGATAAATATTGAAAATATGCTAGCTGTGTCTATCAGTAGCACATCAACCCTATAGTTCGTTAGATTAAACAATCAATTGATCATTTGTGTATGAAATTGAACCTTTATCAAAGAGTTATTAAATTCATAATTTCAGTAGTATTTTCTCTTGTCTATTTATTCTCAAATCGAGTTCACCATGATACAGTCTCAATATGTGCTTTCTATGGGCACATGATTCAAAGAGACTGGTCAAGAAAAGTACTATAGGGTCGATTTGACATTTTATACGTCGCCTTCTTTAAGTTGCGAATGCTCTCTAAAAATAAGTGTTTATATGAGTCATTGAGAAAAAAAAAGCACACAATAATAATATATTATCTTATCGAAACCAACCAACATTGGCTAATAATTATAAAAAGCTTATTTACAAAATCTAGTGAGTTATATATTATTTTGTCGATATTATGATATTGAATCAATATTTCAATACGATCGATGACTGAAGAGCAGAGCTGGGCAAGTTGAAGGTTTCTCAAGTCACAAGTCAAGTCAAGTCACTAAAAAAACTTTCAAGTCAAGTCACGTCAAGTCATAACCCAAACTTTTTTTCGACCAAGTCAAGTCAAGTCAAGTCACGTCCCAAAATTTTTTCGATCAAGTCAAGTCAAGTCAAGTCACACGTCAAAATTTTTTCGACCAAGTCAAGTCAAGTCAAGTCATATTCCAAAATTTTTTCAACCAAGTTAAGTCAAGGCAAGTCAAGTCAAATCAAGTCAAATCAAATCAAGTCAAGTCAAATCAAGCCAAGTCAAGTCATTTCTCGAAATTTTTTTCCTAGAAGTTAAGTCAAGCCCGATTAAAAGTTAGGCAGAACATGACATTTACTAGCACTTATCGGATGAGAATCAATTTTTATAGTCTCAGAATTCTACTTCATGGTAAAAAACAAGCCTATAAGAAACAGAACTGGGCAAGTCAGAGGTTTCTCAAGTCACAAGTCAAGTCAAGTCACTAAAAAAACCTTCAAGTCACAACCCAAATTTTTTTTCGACCAAGTCAAGTCAAGTCAAGTCACGTCCCAAAATTTTTTTGATCAAGTCAAGTCAAGTCAAGTCAAGTCACACCTCAAAATTTTTTCGACCAAGTCAAGTCAAGTCAGACTTGACTTGACTTGACTTGACTTGAGGCATTTTTGACTTGGCTTGCCCAGCTCTGCTGAAGAGGATTTTTTTTTCGTTCTACTTGTTAATATTTGTAAGGAAAAACCATGTTCTGAATAACTTTCAAAATGAAAATTATGTACAATTCAACCGATGAGGAATTATTACAAGTGAGATTATCAGCACTGACGATTTTCTACTTGTTTAAGAATATAGTACACACATTTGAAATAGCAGTCTTCTACGTAACACACACTGCTGATACTAGTCGATTTTATTGTGAATGTTCATTTGCGTATGACTATGTCCATAACATCGTCCGCTGGTAAAAAAGGATATATTGAGATCATGCTTCGATTCACGAGATGAATGGGTTGGTCATTTTTAGTCCAATTATATAGACTAGCTGCTCAATGTAAAGCATGATGAGTTAACTGTTATAATGCATTCACTGATTGTGTCTAACTAAAAGACAGGTAGGAATAGTCTTCTATATGATACACTCAGATAGTCACCTCATTAAAGTTACTGTGATGTATGTTAGCTATTGAATTTTTCTTTATGCTTTGATTCCAGTCACATTGATCTACATGAACGACAAAAGCGAACAGTTAAATGAAAATAATCTTACAATGGACAATTTAACATTTAGAAATGATGAAACATCATTAATTTTTACATTTAATTTGATGTTTTATAATTATGAAACAGAACAAGGCCACATCTAGAAATGTGTATATTTTGTATAATAGTTATCCAAAAAGATGAAAACTATGTCTTTTTTTCGTATTTCCTTAATTCTGTTATAATCGTTAAAAACAAAATGCTGTTTTCTTTCTTTATCACAATTATTATTCAAACGAACAGAGACATATTTCATTTATTTGATCTTGAAATAATTTCAATTGTTCTATTTTGATAATCTGTAATTTATTAACCATCATTTGGAAGGATATGTAAATAGAGCAAATCTTCTGTTATCATACAAAAGATGAATATTAAAATCTTACTACTGTTTGTTCAAAAATATAATGGTCATGGATAGTTTTTGCTTTGTGACTTAGGAATGAAAAGAGCTATAAAACTACAATCCTCACTAAGCGAAAGAATAGACATTAGAATGTCTTTTTCTCCAACATTATATAACACAAAATCATTTTAAAACCAACCGTTTTTATAAAGCATTGGAAAAATGTTCGAAAATTATTTGTCATTGAGATAAAGTTTTTTTTTTTTAAAATAAAAGATTTATATTTTTTCGAGAGAGTAAATAAAGAAGTTTTTTTGCTAAACATTACAATG